GTTTACCAGGCTGAGTGTGTTTGTGTCCTTTTCAGTTGGGTCAGTTGTGCCACCCGAAGCGATAGTTTGAGGGCTGCAGTCAGGTCTGGAGCTGCTTCTGTTGGAGTTGTGCTGCCTCTGCAGTGCTGCTGTAACAAGGTGTGTTCTCCTTTCTCACAGCTCTGCCCAGCAGGCAGCAGTTAAACTTAAAGAAGAAGATTTCCCAAGCTTGTCATCCTCTGCAGCACCCACCATCTCTTCTGGGATGTCTTTGACATATACAGCGACTGCCAAGAAGACAGCTTTCCAGGAGGAGGATTTTCCAGCTCTGGTGTCCAAAATGAGGCCTAACAATAAAACAGTGACTAACATCACATCTGCGTGGAACAACGGCTCCAGCAAAAATGTGGTCAAAGCCATGAGCAACCCCTGTGTGAACCAGGTCACCAAAAAACCATCCTCCTTGAGTAGCAGTAAAGGAAGTAAGAAGAGCAATAAACTCTCTCAGTCAGACGATGAAGACAGCAGTGGTGGCTTGACAACCCAGGAGATCAGAAACACACCGACCATGTTTGATGTGTCGTCCTTGCTGGCAGCTTCTACCTCACAAACTTTTACGAAAGTGAGCAAGAAAAAGAGGATGGGGGGTGAGAAGCAGAGACCATCGTCCCCACACCTCTCCCAGGAGACACCATTCCCCAAGTCATCGACTGAAAAGCCGCTGGAAACGGAGCGGACATCAAACGCACCCGCCGCTCTCCACGCCCCCGACAGATCCACAGCCGTCACCAATGGTCACCTGGAAAAATCCTTAGTTGTCTGTACGACACCCAAAGAGCCTCCTGGCCTTAAAAAGCCCACAGTGACTAACAAATGCCCCTTACCTCAGGAAGACTTCCCAGCTCTTGGGAGCTCAGGATCAGCTAGGATGCCCCCACCACCAGGTAAGCGCTGCGGGGCACGGCCGGCCTTGCTCAGCTGTGGATTAGAGAAACGTGGCACGTGGGTGAGGTGTAGAAACTTCTGTCCTGTGAGGAGCAGTTCTGTCCCTACACACCACATGAGCCTCTGGAGTTACAAAAAACAGTCTGGGTGACACGGGGGCGCTGAGGGAACTGGGGGTGTTGAGCCTGGAGAAAAGGAGGCTGAGGGGAGACCTTCTGGCTCTGTCCAAGTCCCTTGGAGGAGGGTGGAGAGAGGTGGGGGTGGGTCTGTTCAACCAAGGC